ATAATAATATATAATAATAATATAATAATATAATAATAATAATAATAATAATAATATAATATAATAATAATAATAATAATAATAATAATAATAATAATAATAATAATAATAATAATAATAATAATAATAATAATGGAAACTTTATTGATTTTCTTAATAGTATATATACACAATTGTAAATCTCACTAATACTTTAGGTAACTTACAATCGGCTACTTGAATCTACTTATATATCAATACTATGTATATATGGAACGAAAAATTAGGATCAAATACGATTATACATTTATGTAAGCTATTTATAATACATTATCAAACATTAATACACTAAAAATTCAGGATTTTCCCACTCTTTATTTCTACGGCAAAATATATAATATGTAGTTCGAATCGCAATCGTCACCATACGTTTCACACAGTAATCCTGTTGTTTCTGGTCTACGCCAAGTTTATCGAGCATTTTAAAAAGGGATCTACTTTCGTCAGCAAAAATACCTAAACAACTCATGGATATATTTACAAATACTACATCTCTATAAATTCTTGTTTGCTCTTTTACAAGTTCAGAATACTTTTGTTTTTTGCAGTTGCTGTTGTTTCGAAGGTTAGATTCATAACCGACGGTCAATTCTGCAATATATAATGTGTTGTCTGAAGTAACGAGGAGAATGTCAGGACGATATTGGTCCCCAGTGATTATTGATGGAATATATGAATATTCACCCCCCCAATTATCGTTCTAGTTACGCCCCTGACTTGTTGACATTTCTTGAGGATCTCAAAGTCGAGTTCAGTTTGGCCGGCAACGCGCGTAGACACACCCGGTCTATTTTTTTATGGGTAAAAATGACTTGTTCAGGACAAATACGACTAAATGGAGACCTGCATGACTCTTAGAATACATAATATATTCAAATACATACTAGGTTATAGATATATACACACATTCCTAATACATTCATGTCTATATAGAGCACACGTTTTGTTAGGCATAGTCGCATCGGTAAAGCGCAATGCGGGAGTCGTTATAACAGTACATCAAAACGTGGGCTATTGAATGAATTTTTGACAGATATGTCGAAATCAATCCTAATCTTCAATTTCATTTTCAGAGCAAACTTCATGCTTTGACTAATACTGACGTGAGTTGTGGCGTACACCTTTCCTTAATTCTTACACGAGCACGAATATGATTAGTTTTACGTTTAACTATATATAACATTTCATGTGAGACAAAATTGTTGCAAAGTCCACGATTGCAGTGTTGTTGTAAAGTTATCTTGCAGAGTGGGCGGTTGATTATTTCAATATAAATATATTTTGGTTAATTTGGCAAAAGTATGGTAAAAGTAATTGCACATATACGACAAACCTAAAAGACGAACCTATTTTCTATATTAGCTATCTTATTGCCCACATTGCGCGAAAGATAATTCCCCTAAAAATCAGGTATATTTAAGGCAATGGAAGTGCACACGAGCTTCGCAACGCAATGAAAATCGATGCTAGCTGGGCGGCCTATTTTAGTCGCGAAGCTTTATACGACTATTCGCGACTTATTTAAGGCCGCAGCTTATTTTCGCTCGTGAACGCCATTGTTTTGAATTGACTTCTGTAAGTGGCATAAGGGAGTTCCATATACACAGAGGACCATATTATAACTGGCTATATTAGTGAATGGAATGAGAGAAATGCATTATTCAATTTAGTATTGGCTTATCAAGCCAAATGTATACGCGTGCAATTGAAATTAAAGTCTGATATTTCGTAGGTGTCTTCTTCTATTCTTATGACAGTAATAAGTATACTTTATACCCACCTAAAATTTTAACCTTTTTCTGTGTTTGAATTCGGCTTCTCTTTACTCGTCGGCTTTTCAAGTTAACTGCGAACCAATCATTGTGAGATCCCTTTTTTATAATCTACGTTGTTGATTTTTGGACCCCAAGGTGCAATGCAATATATATTTCCGCTTCAGCTCCACAATAGGCTAACTTCGACGACGCCATTGGCCAAGACTGCAAAAACATTAGCGCGAGGTCACAGCAAGCAAAATTTCCACACTATTAGCATGATTAATTAATATCGCGCGGAAACAGAAACTTTCGCAATATAGTTAAATAACTTTTGAATTTGCTTTGAGCGGTGTCCGTGTCAGGGGATGGTCCAGCACTAGAGCACAAATTTGCATTACAAAACAAAGTGGTTATTTTTAGCAATTTCCTTGTGTCATGCTAATTAACGCACTAGTGCTGCATCCGCTCTGAATTTATTCAGTTTCACTACCAGTTGATATTATAGAGTTGATAAAGTAAGAATTTAGATCAACTGTTGTATGAGCATGCCATATATGCTTCACCAGCTGTCACTGACAGCTGTTATTACTTATTTAACAGTGACCTTAGCAAGGGCGGCGGAACAGGGGGGGCTAGGGGGGCTTTAGCCCCCCAGAAGTAAAAGTGGGGGGGCTTAGCCCCCCCAAAAATTTCATGAAGAATGCCAGAATGAAGCATGAGAGATGCTTTTTCAAATGTAGAAGATATCACTACACGCGCTGCGCCGTTTTCAGTTTGTGTTTGCCAATGAAAAACTACGATAAAAGCGGCAAGTAAGACTCTGAAATGGCCATTTCCGAAGATCTAGAGCACTGAAATTCGAAAAAAAATTCCGCCCCCCCAAAATGTATTATGTTCCGCCGCCCCTGGACCTTAGGATTTAACAACGCCATTGCAACAGCAACAGCTAGTAAACAATAAAATTCTAAAACCAAGACAAATGATATGAATATTTAGCGAAGTTCAAGAGAATTTATACGCTGCGTCACGCAGCGCTGCAACGATCTGTGTGCAACGCGAAACCAAACATTTTAACGTCCTTCCGAAAAACCAACACAGAACAAAATATGCCGGCCAGAATTTTTCACTTGTTTGGCGGGAAACATTGCATTTATTTAAAGTCATGTGACTACGAATCAACTAGTCACATTTCAAATAGACAGGACCTATATAACAATATATTTTGTACCCTAGCTGTATGCACCGCACGGAATTTAAATCCCCAGCGATGACAATGAATAGATCATTTATCAGTTTGGTCGGTCAGTATTTGTAAATAAACAATCTCAACAACCGAACAATGAGTTTTTATTGTCGTGCATGATAACTGGAATGCTAACTGTCGACCTTGTAAAATAAATTGTAAATAAAATTTTACTCGTTAAATACTTTGAATTCAGCTCGTTGGTTTACGCACCCGACTTTGTTTACCGACGATTGGGCCGCTGGAATATGATTACAAGCTTTCTCGCATTCCAGGGGCCAAACGTCTTTTGTGTTGTAGAAAAAGAGGATATTCATGAATATTAAGTGGTTGCGTTTTTTTGATACACCCTGTACATAAAATTATACGCAACGTCCCCGCTGCGCCCTCGGGAATTACACAAACCTCTCTCGCCTTCGGGGCATTTAATCACTAATTCCCTTATGTCATGATATTACTTATAATAAACACCAAATACACTGGAAATAATTAATTTTCAACGAGTATGTCTTCAAGAGTCAATCATTCTTTGGTGTACTGACAAAATCCAAAATTGCCTAGAACAGAATTTTTACAAAAAATGCCGTGCTGCGAAACGCACTAAGGCGTGTTTTCAGTGAAAAGGTTAATGAGCAAAGGGAAAGGTGTGCAAAAGGACGTGTTTTCGCTAACACACAAAGGTGTGTTGCACGACAAGGTGTGTTTTCTAAAAGCGCGTAGAAAAGTGTGCACAAATTACACACCATGGCGTGCAATTGAGCATACCTTAGTGTGCAGTGAAACACACCTTGGTGTGTAATTCCACCCACCTTTTTTGTGTGAATTTATCGGAACGGCACGGCTAAAATGGGTATTCGTGCCCATTTCATCTGTGTTCGGCTTTTGTATTGTTAGCTTGAACACTATACAACTGGGTATAGGTATATTTAATGCAGTGTAAACGCGGTTTTGTGATTATAATCAAACAATTATGGGCGTACCCCAATGTAATGTGCACAACCGATGCGCAGAAATCACTCTAATCTTTCTTTAAAGTGCTACTGAGTCGAATTTTTTAACCTAGTTTTTTTAGCTTTACTTTAGCTTTTAACTTTTTATCGACTTGTTTGCCGCAATCAGAAATGAATCTTTTCAATCAAAACAGACTTTATAGATATCTGAAGTTGCAAATTTTTGGCAATACCTGTGTGAACGTTTCGGCCGCCACCTTAATTTTTTTGTTGTCGTGTCACGTCGAAGATGAACACGATTTTATTAGCTCACTAGAATATAGTACGAAACTTACTAATGCTGGATTTAGCGCCGCGTTTCGTGGTTATAACTTCGTTAATGCCCAAATTCTCAAGGCGCTGAGAAGTTTCTCCTTACCTGTTCTAACCAGATAAAAATTGTGCAAATATAACAATATTAGCGCATTTTGTTGAAACTGATATTGAAACTGAATGAGACCTCAAAATCGTGCATCTCATCAGCGTCAGCATAATTTTTATATATATATATATATATATATATAATATCATATAATATATATATATAATATATATATATATTATATATAATATAATATATATATATATTATATATATATTAATTATAATATAATATATAATATATATACAGCCGCTGTCATTAATGTTGTCCAAATCAAGTATATCAATATACATGTCATGTGACTTATTGGTATGCACCAACTCGAGTGTGCTTGCTATGTAAATGTATGAAACACCCGCATAGCAGATATATTTACATTAGCAAGCACACTCGAGTGGGTGCATACCAATAAGAGACTCTCAACATATACAAAGTCTTAAAGAAGAGCGCAAAACTTAAATAAATATATAAAGCTAGCCACATGTTAATAATTTAGATATTTTGAAGAAGACTCGAAGTACCGAGTCGAAAGCTCAATAAAAAACAATTTTAAATCCGGAGAACATTCATTGACAAACCAATCTGCCTTGATTACAAATCTTTAATTCAAATACAAATCTACATGTATATGTATAACTTTAGTTCAATCAAGCAGCTTGCATTTTTATATGAAACTAAATCTAATTTAATGAATCAAAAGTATATATTATGATAATAATTATAATATTTGCAGACTGTAAAGAACTGTTATTCTAACTTCCACTCGAAGCCGGCCAAATTTTCTTCACTCACATTATCTTCTATTTGCTCATCTTGGATAAGGTATTTTTCAGGTCCTTCATCCTTTTCTAACAGTTCTCGGCTTCTTCTCTGGTTGGATCGAGTCGAACGAACAATTATTCGGATGTTTTCTTTTTTTAATAAGCTTTCGATGAATGCATTTCTGAGACGTCGTGAATTCATATACTGACCTCCTACTCGAGCTACAGGAACGAGAACTGTGGCGTAGGTGGTTGATTGACCAGGTTGGCGAGGTATATTTCTTTGTAGTTGGAGATTGTAGTAATTTTGACCCCCCCACCAATGAGTTCCTTGCAAATCGATACGAAAGTTAGAATTGCTAACAATCTCCGAGCGTGGTCGCGGTGGTATTCGCGAAGTTTCCATTTGAGCGATGGCCTCATAGGCACTGCGCGTTAGAGCATCGCTCAGTTGATCAGTAGCAATTTGCCCACGTCCCATAAGGTATACGACATCAATACTATTTCCTGTATCTCTCATGCATAGTTCTTCAATCTGCCGCTTTTTTCTAGTATTTTCGCAAGAATTCCATTGAATTACTCCACAGTAATCCCAACTGCCATCATTTGTATAGCACCATGTATATGAATAACCATGAAAAGCGCACTTGCTATTACCTTTGCATGCCTTCCCATAAATAGTTGTGTCAGAATTCGGAGAACAATAATCATAATTAATATTTGTATGACAGTAATAATATCCTTTGCTTGGATAATACGAACAGTCGTCAACACAGTCATAGCCATATCTGGTTTTGAAGCGCTGGAGTCTGTTTTGAACAAGCCCGCAATAGTTCCACCCTCCGTTGAGAAGATAACACCACTTATATTTTTCCCCACGTTCAGCGCACGCATTCTTACATTTCTTTCCTTCGATATCCTCGTTTGCTGATCGCGAACAATATTCCCAACTATCATATGCTCCTTTTGTGTAGCACCAATAACTATTTCTATATTTACTTTTACAGGGACTAGTGCAAAGCTTGTTATAGCGAGTAATATACTTGGTGTTGGAAACGGTTCCTTGAACAGCTTCCAAAAACCCAATTAGAATAATCCACCAACATATAAAATCTTTTCTCAAAAGGGTCATCATCCTGAAAAAATTTTTATGAGAATATATACACCATTTGCTGAAACATCTCCCCTATTTAGCTAAATTTAAAAATTTCAATATTCACTACTATACAGCTGGGAAGTTTGAAGGTTTGGTTTCAAAATATAGAAACTGTGAAAAATATCGGCGTGCGGAGCCGCCAAATGTTGTAGAAATTACTAACTTCTTATTAACCGAACGCGAGGTCTTTACCGAGAAATATCGGACCGAGGACTTTTTGTACAGACCGAGCTGGTACGCATTTGATAAAAAAAAACACAATATTGAGTAATTTAGTTTACCTAAACTGTCTGCAGACATTTTATTAATTTCAAAATCATTCAAATTTTTTCTTGGGCATTTATTTGGGCCTTTTTCATTCAGAGTTTCTCTGTTTTTCATCTCGTAACGGATCGCCGCTAACGGCGGTCCATTACGGGAAAGTGCCGGTCCATTACCGGAAAGTAATGGAACGCGGAAAATTCTTCTCAGCATATCACTGAGCTTCATTTCACCGGAATTGACGCTTGCCATAATTATAATAATATTATATAATACTAATTTATACACATCATGCTAAAATCGCACGACTATATTTTTCGTACGTTTTTTTTTCATCATTTCACAGACAAATTTCCTGATTTATCTAATTTTGGGATGGTTTTTAAACTTTCTGTACAAGAACTGATGACTGTTCCTAGTTCAGCAATTAGTTTAATAGAGAAGCAGGCAATGCTGAGAAGCAGGCCTAGTTTGGAGGCCAAGCTCGACGAATGTCGTCTAAAATCGCCCATAACTCTGCCTACAGCTTTCGCCTACTAGACCTCATAATTCATAAATTATAAATACATGTATATATGTGATTTCAATACGACATGAATACGAGTTAAAAAGTAACGGACTATAAGACAGTCTCCATAAAGCACACCTCGGCCAACTATTATTAATGGTACGGTATAGAATATTCACTGTGATCATCGTTATATTGAAGTCAGTGTACAAGTTCTACCTCCTCCACAGGCGTTTCATAATACTGCGAGCGGGCGGGAAATTAGGGAGCGATCGGCGAGGGCAACATTACAAATGCGGGTAATGCGAAGAGAAACCAAACAACGGGGAAAGGCCTGCTGAATAATATATTTGTTTTCGGGACAAAATATCCATTTTGCGGACATCCTTAAAAATCTTTCTGAATTTGCCAATCGTAAAAAATGTATTTTCGAGTGTTCCGTCTTAGCTGGGTATATTTTGAAAGTTAATTTTAAATATGATCCGATGTAGCCCGTATACCGATGGCCGACAAACAAGAAGGAATGATTTCAAAACGCGAAGGTTTTTCAATACTGTTGTCAGAGACGTGCCGGGCGGGAAGCGTATTCGAAGTATAAATATTAAAGCCCAACATAGTGCTTTCAGTAAAGCACCAAACTTAAGCCTTCTCTTAATGTTCAAGGCAACTCTATCCCTCTCAATTTATTTTAGCCCTGACTTCGTATTGTCATCGTGTCGTGACGTCTCTGTCCCTTGTCCTTTCATGTACCGTTTGTCCTTACGTTGTCCTTGTTATCACTTTTTGTAAATTGATACTTGTAAATATATTACTAGTCTACATATTCAAATTATCATGTAATTTATCATTTAGTCTGAAGATGTCTTAAGTTAAGACGAAACGTCTATACGAAATATATTCTTATCATTCCCATATGGTTTAATTGTCTCTTATTGCTTTACTGAAAGCACTATGTTGGGCTTCAATATTTATACTTCAAGCCATTCAAATGAAAGTGATGTAGATATTATCAATTTATTATTTATCGTTTCGTAAAATGGAACTGTGTACGTTTAATATGTATTACATAATTAAATTCAAGGGAAATTATATTCAAATTATATAGTAACATGAATATATATAGCAATGAATAAATCTGAAAGCATAATGTGATAATCAAAACAGAGAAAAGCACAATAACTACGCTTATTAACTATGCTAAACAAGCTTTAACTGACTTTCCTAAAATTGTTAAGTTTTTGTAGTCAGTTTTTGGATTAGCTACTGCCATCCTGAAATCATTAATCAGCAGGCGTTTCTGTTCGCAATACCCGCATTTCTAATGCTGCTCGTGCCGCTCTCTCCTAATTTTCTCGCCCGCTCGCAGTATATTAGAGAGCTTTAGATTTGACTACAGCTCCCACTACCGCTACGAGATTCGTCTCATTGACGTGATATTCGTGATACTTCGTACTGACGCTATAGACTCGTAGCCGTCGCTTATCTGACTACGGCATTTTAAGAAAACTTCGTAGTCCTGATTATTTGATTTAAAAAGCAATCACATTTTCTCGTTTTTTCCAAAAAAACTGATAATTTGAGAGAACTGTTTTTCATGACCGTGGCCTTTGATAATGTGTATTTTTCGAAATATTGGGCGTAAAATTTCCGAAATATTTGACAGGATAAACATGCATTTATTATTGTGTTTGCAGAGGTTTATCATGCCAACACGAGGTGGCGTAAACATACAACGTTTGTTTCGCGCCACAGTGACGAATCTCGTAGCCGTAGCGGGAGCCGTAGTCAAATCTAAAGCTCTCTAATGAAACGCCTGTGGAGGAGGTGGTATAAGCTCTTGATAATTTCGCTAATGTGATTAGGGGGGGGGCTTCAAGGTCAAAATTGATAACAGAATCAGATAACTTTGGAATCCAGCCGGGAATACAGAACAGTTAATTTGCATTTAATGCATTGCGTCCCCCCATAATGCTGTCCTCGATGAGACTTTCGCACTTGAATTTCATTCCCGATAACGAAGGGAGGCTTTTTACTCCAAAGTTGGACAAATGCTTTTAGATTTTGGATAGGTACTATTGTACTATCAATTATTTCTCGATGGTGTGAAAAAATACAGGTGGGGATCAAGAAGTGGTATTTATCGTGCATAAAGACGGCGAGACATGGCAATGGCGACATAATTGATGGAAATTTAATCAACAATGACAGGGTTATAAAATCAAATTGAAGCGGTGTTTCCATTTAATAGGGAAATATAGGGATACCTATAGTTTCATTTTTCACTCATGGAACTTTAGAAAATGTAATTGCTTGTAGCGCAAGCATTGAAACAATTTCGTTGTACCTTTGGCAGAATAATATTTTGGGCTAACTTTTTCGAAATAGCTTTGTAACCAAGCATTATTCAATATGGGGCGAATCGTCTTATGTTTACGTTTGCCAGTGGCGTAGCCAGCCCGACAATTTAGTCATGCTATGCTAATATTTTGGTGATCATTGACTGTGAAAACAATGAATTTCTAAAGAAATGAATAATGATAATAACATAAAATTTGCATAGCAACATGAGTAAATCGTCAGGCTGGCTACGCCACTGACGTTTGCAAAACTCGCTTTACGCTTCGGCTGTTTTCGGATTATGATTATCCTTCTCGACTAATGATATGTTTCCCGCCTGCTGATCGCTTTCTCGACAATCGATTTGTTTTTCGACACTTTATTTTTTTAATTCGTGTGTCAATTTATTTGTCTCAACCGTCGATATATTACCCTGGTCCATCGACTTACGGAACTAGACTATTGATTTATATTTCTCGAATAGTGAATTGAAACTCGATACACTTTTGTCAGCTTTGGCTTGCCATAACTAGAAACGTGTCAAAATTCGTCTAGCAGCGCCATCGCGCAACTGTAGCGCGACGACAATCCGCATTTAACGGTCTACCTGAATCAGTGCAGTAATATTCTGCGTGCGTTTGTCGTTTTATTGAAGTATTTTGTCTTTATAAAAGCTAAAGTATGTTCAAAATTAAAGTTGACACCATGTTGTTGCATGCAAATCCTTATATACTCCTTGAGCGCCTATTTTTGTTTATATGACTATTGTGTCGGCACAATATAGCTATAGCCCTTCTTGACGCGTTTGATGTGTTCAGTTGTCGCCGAATACAATCGTAATCTTCAATTTCATTAATTTTTCAGAGCCAAAGCGACTTGTTGACATTTCTTGAAGATCTCAAAGTCGAGTTCAGTTTGGCCGGCAACGCGCGTAGACACATCCGGTTTATTTTTTTATGGGTAAAAATGACTTGTTCAGGACAAATACGACTAAATGGAGACCTAATACATTCAAATACATACTAGGTTATAGATATATAGCTACACACATACCTAATACATTCATGTCTATATAAAGCACACGTTTTGTTAGGCTAGTCGCATCGGTAAAGCGCAATGCGGGAGTCGTTATAACAGTACATCAAAACGTGGGCTATTGAATGAATTTTTGACAGATATGTCGAAGTCAATCCTAATCTTCAATTTCATTTTCAGAGCAAACTTCATGCTTTGACTAATACTGACGTGAGTTGTGGCGTACACCTTTCCTTAATTCTTACACGAGCACGAATATGATTAGTTTTACGTTTAACTATAACATTTCATGTGAGACAAAATTGTTGCAAAGTCCACCATTGCAGTGTTGTTGTAAAGTTATCTTGATGAGTGGGCGGTTGATTATTTCAATATAAATATATTTTGGTTAATTTGGCAAAAGTATGGTAAAAGTAATTGCGCATATACGACAAACCTAAAAAACGAACCTATTTTCTATATTAGCTATCTTATTGCCCACATTGCGCGAAAGATAATTCCCCTAAAAATCAGGTATATTTAAGGCAATGGAAGTGCACACGAGCTTCGCAACGCAATGAAAATCGATGCTAGCTGGGCGGCCTATTTTAGTCGCGGAGCTTTATACGACTATTCGCGACTTATTTAAGGCCGCAGCTTATTTTCGCTCGTGAACGCCATTGTTTTGAATTGACTTCAGTAAGTGCCATAAGGGAGTTCCATATACACAGAGGACCATATTATAACTGGCTATATTAGTGAATGGAATGAGAGAAAGGCATTATTCAATTTAGTATTGGCTTATCAAGCCAAATGTATACGCGTGCAATTGAAATTGAAGTCTGATATTTCGTAGGTGTCTTCTTCTATTCTTATGACAGTAATAAGTATACTTTATACCCACCTAAAATTTTAACCTTTTTCTGTGTTTGAATTCGGCTTCTCTTTACTCGTCGGCTTTTCAAGTTAACTGCGAACAAATCATTGTGAGATCCTTTTTTATAATCTACGTTGTTGATTTTGGGACCCCAAGGTGCAATGCAATATATATTTCCGCTTCAGCTCCACAATAGGCTAACTTCGACGACGCCATTGGCCAAGACTGCAAAAACATTAGCGCGAGGGCACAGCAAGCAAAATTTCCACACTATTAGCATGACTAATTAATATCGCGCGGAAACAGAAACTTTCGCAATATAGTTAAATAACTTTTGAATTTGCTTTGAGCGGTGTCAGTGTCAGGGGATGGTCCAGCACTAAAGCACAAATTTGCATTACAAAACAAAGTTATTATTTGAACAAGGTTAAACAAGGTTATTTTTAGCAATTTCCTTGTGTCATGCTAATTAACGCACTAGTGCTGCATCCGCTCTGAATTTATTCAGTTTCACTACCAGTTGATATTATAGAGTTGATAAAGTAAGAATTTAGATCAACTGTTGTATGAGCATGCCATATATGCTTCACCAGCTGTCACTGACAGCTATTATTACTTAATATTTAACAGCGACCTTAGGATTTAACAACGCCTTTGCAACAGCAACAGCTAGTAAACAATAAAATTCTAAAACCAGGACAAATGATATGAATATTTAGCGAAGTTCAAGAGAAATTATACGCTGCGTCTGCGACGTTCTGTGTGCAACGCGAAACCAAACATTTTGAATATGCGGGCAACAATTTTTCACTTGTTGGCGGGAAACATTGCATTTATTTAAAGTTATGTGACTACGAATGAACTACTCACATTTCAAATAGACAGGACCTATATAACAATATATTTTGTACCCTAGCTGTATGCACCGCGCGGAATTTAAATCCCCAGCGATGACAATGAATCGGACTAAATAGAAATTTTAACGTTTTTCTGCCTTATCATAGGTTATTTATCTATTTCAAAAACGAATTAGTTCTTTTGATGTTTGAATTCCGCTTGTATATTCGTTTTATTCGCGTTTGAATTAACATACTGTCATGATTGAACTTCCTTATTTTCCGCCTCTTCAATTCCTTGTCGGCGAGATTAATAATGAAAAAAATAAATAGATTATTTATCAGTTTGGTTGGTCAGTATAGGAAAATATTTCCTTCGGGCATAAAAACGTCCCTATTGTAAATAACATTAAAATTATACTACTCGCTCTCGATTTCTATGATATGACTAAAATCTCAAATCCTAAATAATTCCTTTCGTGATGTAATGTGTATACCACCTGTCGCCGCCATGTCTGGTTTCCTTTTAGACATGAATGTCATTTGAATAATTAGCGCAAGGATCAAGTTGTTTAGAGATGATAACCAGACATTAATACAGAATATCGAATACGCGAAGTTCGTTTGTATGCGAACCAGCGTAGTAACGTGTGCTTGCATGCTGTAAAAACTCATTTAAGTATCCACACCATTTATACACGTGAAAATCTGCATTTCAATTTCAGCAATGCATTGCGCGGTAATATAATATTTAAAATATAAGCTTAGATATTTACCTAATGCGCACAATATGCTCCGTGCAGCAACAACAGTAGCCTCTAGCCACGGTCAAGCTTGTCGCGGAATGTCGCCTATACACAGTACTGTCAGTAGCAACGAAGGGCATCATCACCTTAAGAATATTTTAAAATTTGATAATAATCTATTTTGTCGATTGCATGCACCATCGAATGCATGCACCATATTTTCCTCGAAAAGCTAAAGCTGCAATGTCGCTATTTCTGCCGCCATATTTTTTCATATAAGTTACATATTTTGTGTATAACAAGTCGCTACACTTGTGATATTAAATTAGCTAACAAAATTCTTGGTGGTCACTATATTCATCAGGAAATTTTATTATTCCCCCCCCGACCATCTACATAGCTAATTGTGTAAAAATGCCTAAGCTACCTGCATGAGCCTAACAATAGTGACCCAAAGAAGTAGAACGCATAAATTAGTGGGATGATTTTCAAAATCTTTATTTGAAACGACCGCGGCAATCCGCAATCCCGATGGTCCGAATTCAGTTCCGCCCTGCGAAACAACTCAACCCCGGCAGCAAGAAGAGATTGCACAGTATTTTCACTAAAGCATATAGCAATAGGAGACGGCCCATATAGAAACCGGGTTTTTACATCAGAGAGTGCAAATAATTTTTTCTGCAAAGCATATAGCAATGTTGCCACCCATATAGAAACGACGATGCCAAATGCATGCACAGGGGAGTTTATACTCACCATTTTAAGAAACAACCGATCCTCAACATCTTCGAGACATCTATACTTGTGACACAATTTGTGCCTCCTACTTACAGTAAAATTAACTAATCAAGATTAAGACATGCATGAAAGCATTAATCCATTTTGTCTGGCGAAATCTTTTTATATCATATAATTATATATATTTGAGTAGGTATTCGAGGTAGCATCAACCCAGATGTTTTTGAAAAATGTCAGTAAAGTTTGTAAACAATTGTTGTTTCAATGTGAGTAATGCATCCTATAAACTGTAAACACCAAGCTAACAACTTTCTAACCTCAGCCCGGTCAATTTGAAGTTTCATGTCATGTTTTTTCGGAATGATTGGATGATCGTGGCCCAAGTTGATTCCACCGGCCATGATAAGCAATCTAAAGGGTTATATTGCAGTGCGCATTTATATCCGAATACATTTTACTCGCGTTAACATATACATAAAATGCAATTGAGAACGTTTGTTATATACAATTGCATGATCATCTATATGAAATCTTAGTTTGAATGCGTGTTATATTTCGATAAATGCATGGATCAATAGAGAGCTACAGTTTAGCCAAGCAAATACACTCAAGGGAAAGAAACTTTAGTTTAAATCGAGCCAACCGTTATACGAATTCTGTTGATGATTTCATTGATAAACCTGATTTCAATGCTTTGAGGGAAATAATTACAAGCGTGCCTAATAAAGTGGCCCAGTCATGACTTTCCTTATATCATAGCTAATGTTTCATTTAGTGTTCATACCTTTATATATGCACGTGTTAAAACGCCGCCCTTGACTTCTCCATAGATGCTAATATCCAGCAAATATTTGGGACAGTCTTCGCGAAATTATTGGTAAAGATCTTTACCCGCGCGCTCATGCACGCATAAACAGTTGATAGGCGCCATTTCAAATTTGCTCATTTTGCCGCTCTAGCTGGCAGGCTTCAAGGTGCAATGATCATGCATAATTGCAATTTATATCCGGAATGTAATTCCTAATCAAGGAGCCCAAATCAAAATTAGTGGAAATTTTTTCTGTTGCCCAACAGCTGATATGTTGTCCAAGCAAGATAAATTTTATTCTAATGTAAATTTTGATGAATTATTAATAGCGAAATATATGTAGCAAAATATCTGAAAGGTCAAATGTTTTTAAACGTTAGCTTGGCAACTTGCCCTTTGGGCTTGTGCTAGTTGTGCGCAAGGACTGCACGCACTTGGTTAAAACATCGCGCAAAACTCAACCTCACAAAACACGGAATTTCATTGTAATAAACAATGTCAAGCAATGAACATCATTGACATAGGTTCATTACTTTCATACAGTCTCTATCATTTATACGATTTGAGCCTTTTCCGCGTTCCACGTTTCCGATTCGAGGAGTATCAAAATATACATGGGGAGTGAATTGTGCTGAAATGTGTATATATCAATATATATGAAGTATTTTTTTGTGAATTAAGAGTCTAAATAAATATTTACAATGCATGAGTTATATTTATGCCATAAGTTATATTTATGCAATTGCCACCTTTCAACATGCCAGCGACGATCGAGCCAGATGGCTTAGATCTGGTGAGACAAAGATACCTTTTTAAGGAAATAAGACAATTTTGTAAACGGGGCACTGAAGATCTTGTTGCTTCGGCTCCAGTTTTAGACTAGATGCACGCGTACATATTTAAATTGCTTCGATATTCATGCAGTGGCATAACGAACTGAGGATGGGGTCTTGAGGTATACTTGTACTGCGGGGTCCCTTAATTCGCTGTTTGTCATGGATCGCGTTTTGCTCATACTATGATGTTTCGCTATACACATGGTTTACAAGTACGATATTGATATGTAACACGCAAAATCCCTCAATCCATTTAAAAATCTGATCTTATCTGTTTACATACATTTAGAGACTTTTATGTCTCTAAATGCCGACAATTATGCAACTTAATTAGCACCTTGCCAAGGCATATATATGGCTCGTAATGCTGTAATATATGGCTTGCGACGTTGTTTGTGCGCGCGGTGAACTTTAGCTTTATGGAAGCTACAGAAGTATATTAAAGCACAAATTCTAACCATTCAGTGCATTACCGAAACTCAAAAAACGATAAATTTTTGAAAGAAAGCTTATGACGTGAAATTTTTCGGTAATGAAATAAGAGCATACATATTAATAACCTTCATGTCTGCATGACGCTAAGCATAAACCAGAACATGAAGCGCACAAAAAAGCATTCGATTAGGCTAAAATGATATAACCCTACTATTTCCTTCACAAGCCTTCTAGTAAGGAACTGAATACGTTTCTGGGAGTATTTCTGTGTAACACATTCTTGGCTTCTTCTCTAAAGTTGTAACATTGCAAATGTTTAATTGAATGTTGAACCAAATCCAATGCGATTGAACGAAATTCCGGCCAACGTTTCAACGAACGGTAAATGAAACGGTTGAACGCTTTTGGACCAATTTTCGAACGATTTTCCCTAAGCGTTCGAACGGGCAATTTCGAAAGATGAACGATCTCGAAAACCGTTTCAACGAACGCTTGAAGCGTTTGAACGGCAAACGAACGGATAACGAACGATATTTTCGAACGAACGAAATAGCGTTAACGTATGTTTTCCCGTGGAAGGTCACATATTTTGTACCCTAGCTGTATGCACCGGGAGGAATTTAAATCCCCAGCGATGACAATGAATCGGACTAAATAGAATTTTTTAACGTTTTTCTGCCTTATCATAGACTATTTATCTATTTCAAAAACGAATTAGTTCTTTTGATGTTTGAATTCCGCTTGTATATTCGTTTTATTCGCGTTTGAAATGAACATATTGTCATGATTGAAATTCCTTATTTTCCGCCTCTTCAATTCCTTGTCGGCGAGATTATAAATGAAAAAAATAAATA